CAAGCAAATATTTCATATGCTGCCGTCCTGGGAATAGCTAAAGGAAGCCAGGACTGCTGGGGACTGCCACTGACGATTGCTGTGCGTCTGATTTGCACGGAAGTCACTTGAATTATTGTTCGTCATTTTTGCGCAAATGATTCGCATTGGAGTTTGCTTTAAGCTGAGCTTAAAGTATAACTTAACGCCTTTTAAATTGAAAGTTCTTTTCAAGCGAAATGCAATGACGATTAAGATTTACATCACTTAAACTTATAAGAGAATTCTTACGAATCTATATATTTTTTAACTATACAAAACTTAACATATTTTCCAGTTATGCCAGTTAAAGTAGCCAAGGCCTATAGTTTTTTATTTATTTTTTGTTTTTCAAGACAAAAATAAAATGAAGAAAAAAATGAAATACATATATATATATATATATATATATATATATATATTTAAGGCGACGCAGCTCGGAGGCAACAGCGAGGACAACAACACGACATGGGACAGACGCCTACAAACAAATCTGCCGAAATTATCCCAACAACTTTTTTACATGTGTCTAAAGGAAGCAATCAATATGACGGCGGCGCAGGATGCGGCGGGCAGCGGGAATTCTTGCTTTGATTTATAAGCTTTATTGAAGGCCATCAGCGAGGTGTGTTGTTCTCGTTCTCATTCTCATTTTCGTCGTCGTTGTTGTTGTTATTGTTGTTATTATTGTCGCCGCCACATGTGAGTCATTAAAGTTGATTGCGGGCATAGAAGAAGAAATCAGCTGAACAATGACAAAACTTGAATACTCAATACTCTAACAAAAATCATCATCTATGCGATGTCCAATAAACCAGAAAATTTCGTGAAGAAAATTTAAGATCTCTTTTATAAAACCAATATACGAGTATCCTGTCATAAATGAATGCAAACAATTGTAAAATTGAAAGAATCGAACTTCGAATTCGTATTTGTAATGTTCAGATCTGTCGCCTAATAATATTTATCTGTATTCCCGACTGTTTCCTGTCCTCATACAATCTATAAATAACAATCTATAAATAATAAAAATAAATTTTTTTTTGTAATAATAACCTAATCAAAGCTGTTTATACTTATATTGTAAAACTCATAAGCCGGGATTTAAAAAACAAATAAATAAATAAATAAAACTAATAAAGTTGGACAAGCTTAAAATGATCCATTTTTAAGCTGTTTACGATTTAGCCAATTGGCTACGTCAGCATATATATGAAAATCTCTGTTAGAGTATGTCTAATAGCCGGCAGGTTGGCATCAAAACGCGACTTCAGCTTGACAACAATTTGCGCGAAAAAAGCCAAACAAGTGAATAACAAATTCTTGGCATTTAGTGATAAAGTTTGGCATCACTGAACTTTTCTCCAAATATATACGTATACATGTATATAAGGATATATGCATATAATATATATATATATATATAAACTTGAGCCTGATCAACTTGTTTTGTTTGAATGCAATAATGTATGAAACAAATTGAATTGCGGACCAAAAAAGCTAACTAAATAGAAAACAGCAGACAACAACATCATCATTATCAGCAGCATCATCATCATCATCATCAGTTGGCTGTCAGTTGCATTCAAAAAAATTATGAAAATTTTCTTTTGACACTTTTACTGAATTGCAAAATGTTGCCTGTGGCGGCGTCTGATATGCAGATAAACAGACAGATAGAAAGTGAGATGGAGCGAGAGGCACGAGAATGTAAAGTATAAGAAGGAAAGAGAAAGAGAGAGAGAGAGAGATGCAGCGAGCACTACATTGCAATGAAGAGTAAAGAAACGTGTGTGTGTGAGAGAGAGAGGAAGAGAGCGGACATTACAATGAAGATAAAAGTGAGAGAGAGTGAGAGTGAGAGAGAGAGAGAGAGAGGTATCAATTTTCACACCTTTTGCGATAAATGCTGCACATGAAAGTGTGCGTATATGCCCAGTTATGTCTATGTGTATGTGTGCATATGTGCAGGTATATACTAAGTGAGGGTATATAGTATGTGAGGGTGTGTATGGGCAGCCAGTTAAAGGGCAATTGTTTCTCTGTTTACTTTTCATTTAAGCCAAACGCCAAAAACCAACAGCAAATTTAAAACTTATCTAGATCTTAATAACAGTGTTTTTTCTTTTCTTTAAGAATCTCTAGCTAAAAGTTACATTATTAATAATTTTGCTCTTATTAGCCAATTCAATAACTTAAACCACCATAACACATTTCTTAGCTTTCACGCTGACTTTGTCTGGAAATATTTCTATTTGAATAACTGCGACGAGTTGACTTGTCAAATATTTAATAATTTATTCCGTAAGCCCAAATGAAAAACAAAAAAATCAGTAAACGAAACAAAAAGCGTTATCTAGCAAATTGCATTATAAATTCATGAATCTAAATAACATGACAGACATGTGAGCAAAGACGAAGCATCCGGGACTGCGACACTCTATGATACAGTCCATTGCTTTGTCTTTGATTGTTTTTTATCATCAGAGCTTTGAGGCAATTAGCGTTGTGGCTGTGACAAACAGTTGCCACTCTTGGCGAACGACCAAGCTGTCATTTAGTGCTGCAAACATGGCTTGCAGGCCGCATTCTATATGTGGGCTAATGGCCAATTATTGCGGCCGCACTTAACTTTCAACAAGTGCGGCTGTGTGGATTTTACTGTCACAAACTTTGCGCTTACTGATGGACTTACGGCTAACAGGAGAGATCTGTATAGTGAAAAAGAGAGAGAGGGAGGGGAAAAGAAATTGAGAGAGAATAAAATTTGAGGAAATGAGAGAGAGGAGGAAATACAGAGAAAGAGTCAGAGGAGATAAATACAGAGAAAGAGAGAGAAAGAGATAGAGTAATAGATAGTGAGAAAAAGGTGAAGGAAGGACACAGAGAGTAAGAGAGAATATAGGGCATGGCAAACTTTCAAAATATATATTATAATAATTAAGATGCATTTTTAAATTTAAGTATTTTTTAATTCAACATATGCCAATGCAAAAAAAAAAAATAATAATAAATAAATAAAAAGTAGAATAATCAAGAAGACAAAGTATATCATTTTTTGACAAAAATAAGTAATTCCTATCAACATAAAATATATATAACTTTCAAAAATCTCCACTCATATATCATTTTTAAAGACCATAAAAATATTTTTAGCAACTGTTTTCTATAGTTTTTTGTCACAGCAATATTCTTGACCAACTATTTATAGCAAAAGCAACTAACTAAAGGCATATATGTACATACGTATGTGTTGTTGTGGCCATTCATTTGATCCACTCAACGGTGTCGAGCTAATCCCCAAGCAGTCGGGCATAAATATTCGTATACATTTTGGACGTACGCTGAACTGACCGAAAATGTCTGTTGCTGTCGCTGCCAGGTAATTGATAATTTCTTTTGTTATTAACATATTGCCAGTGGCATGCGTTCGTGTTGTTCTTCTGCTGCTTTTCCTTTTTATACCCTGAACCCATTTTCAATGGGAAATCAGGGTATAATGGTTTTGTTGAAATGTATGTAACAGGGAGAAGGAGGCGTGGCAGACCCCACAAAGTATATATATTCTTGATCAGGGTGACGAGCTGAGTTGATTTGGCCCTGTCCGTCTGTCTGTCCGTCTGTCCGTCTGTCCGTCTGTCCGTCTGTCCGTATGTATGAACGCGTCGATTTCAGAAGATATAAGAGCTAGAGACTTCAAATTTTTTTTAAAATGTCCGTAATTACAGCGCGCATATCAAGTTTATCATTAAAAATCGATAACTCATCCCGATCTTTTTTTATCGATAAAAAACCTTATCGAAACCCAGTTATAAAATTATATCTTCTACACCTTTATTGCTAGAGTCTCCAAATTTTTAATGTATGCTTATATGCAATTTATACAATTTCGGTTTTTGTTAAAATTTACCCCCCACCTCTAAATTCACCCCCTCACCCTCACTTTTGTAAAAAGCGTATTTCAAATACTAGAGACTTGTGCTTTGGCAAGTACATGCATATTCATGTTATAATCATTATCTAAAAGTTTCATGAAGATCGTACGTCCATAAAAAAAGTTATTAAACAATTAAGTTCTCATAGTAAGCGCACACTGCAGCCCATGCGTGTTTATGCGTGGTTGCTTGTATGTGTATGTGTGTGTGTATGTGTGTGTGTATGCGTTTGTGTCTGTATGCGTGTGTGTGTGTTTGTGTGTCTATATGCGTGTGTGTGTATGTTTACCTGTGTGTGCGTACGTGCGTGTGTGTGTGTGTGTGTGCGTGTTTCTTGTGTAAGCTGAAAGTCGCGAAAAAGTATTGAAATATCTATTGCTCCAAGGGTTCAGGGGATCTCGTAGTCGAGCAGTCTCGACTAGAGCTTTCTTACTTGTTTTTTTTTTCTTTGCCCTCAACTAAGTAGCTTATTTCACGCCTAAAAGGCAGCCCGGACTTCCATTTGGTAGCCAGGACACGTACGCCAAGCAGCCAAGCCAAACGGGGCGGAAAAGAAAGCCAAGCAAATATAATCGACTGCTTGTTTCCTTTTCTCTTATTATTTCACTTTACTTTTTTTCCATTTCTCTCTCTCTCGCTCTCTCGCTCTCTCTTGTAGAAGGTCGCTGCTCCTGTCACTTGATGTGATGCAGTGTAAACAAGACGGTTATGAGCTATGTGTTTGCGTGTCTGTGTCTGTGTGGGTAAGGCACACGAGCCCCGCATCATTATGTGAGAACAAAGAACTTGAAAACTAAATTGCACTTTAAGCAGCCATTAAACATGAACTGCAGAAGCAGCAGCGTTTGTATAATGTCGCCTGCACTATGTGCTAATTACTTATTTATGCGACTCGAAATACCCAAACACTAAGACAGACACACACATATACATATACCTTGCAAGTGCATATCTTAAGAGCTGCGTTTAACGCTACTTCTGCCAACTTGCACTTCTTTTTAGTGATTTTGCATTAAATTTGGTAAGAGAGTTGAATTGAATTTGTACCTGCTTTTAGCTCGCTGTCAGCCATCTGCATCTGGTCAAGTCTCTGACGGACTGCTCTCGCATCGCCAGCTCAAGGACAAACTCAATCAGTTCCCAATTGACCGTATAATGTGGCTCTTTTCAGCACTTTGCCCTGCTGCTGCACTCAATCCTTCAGGCTCAAGTTTTGCGGTATTTACGTGAGCCATTTCCAAAGCAGAGATGCTCAACTATCAATCTGAAACGGACGAGTGAATGGGATAATAGCTATTTAGTAATTGGAATAGATATCAAATATTGTATTTTAAAGTCTTAAAAGTGTATTCAAATCATTTCATTTATATTTTTATGAAATAATAATGTAACAAATAAATATAATAATAAAATAATATAATATAATTAAAATAAAATAATATATATACATAATAATAATTTGTATAAAATGGTTTAATTATTTCATATTAACAAAACCTTAAATATTCCATTTAAATATTTTTATATTTTACATATACAAGAAAATAGAAAGAGGAATATTTAACCAAAATTTAGAACTTGAATTTTCGTTAAAAATTAAATTTTCATTAAATTTAATAATTTGTATAAAATGGTTTTATTATTTCATATTAATAAAAATATAATATTCCTTTAAATATTTGATCAAATTACCTCTAAAAACAAATACATTATTAAAATAAATTTATAAAATTTTATACAAGTAATTTTTACCGTATAATTTGAAAGCCTTTCAGGGTAACCATAAAGGAACTCGTCTTAAACAGCACAAAGTATGCATAATGAATGATAAGGAGAGCTCCATTTAAAAGGCCTTCCAATCGCTCCGATTTAATAAGCGACAATTTTTACTGAGCCTACGGAACGATATTTAATCGGAATCAACGGCGAAATGTGTCCCCAAATGCCGTCAACAATCTGCCAAGGACATCAGCAGCTGAACATCCGTGAGAGAGCTTTCGAGTGAATCCCTGGGCCTGTTGTCGGATGCACCACGAAGCTCATCGATGAATGAGAAAAAAAAAACGGATGTATGGCCACTTCATGCCATAACAGATGGCGGCTGAAAACTGGGCAGAGGCAGTGCTGCGAACTGAGTCCTGCAAGCAGCAAGCTGTGAAGCAACCTATCAGCATGACGATTCAATCATGCAATTAACATTGACATTAATTTGCTTCATCTTTCGGCAACACGCCACGCGGCGTATACTTCATTTAAGGAAGTGCGCATGTATATGTAAATATATAGCTATGCATGTGAATATGTAATTTTATTTTGCTTTTCTTTTTCCATTATTTTTTTTTTTTTTTTTTTTTGGTAAGCCATGTGCAAAAATATCGCTGCTGATTTCCCCGCAGGCCAACAGCGAAGTAATTAATGCGCCTGTCACACATATGAATATGATTATGCCATATAAATGCCAGTGCCATCCAGCTATTGCAATCGATGGACATATCACGCACTGAGTGGGGCGACGCGAGTCGTACGACAATCTGACGTGAATGCATTTCCAGCAACTAATTGAAAATTATCTGGGGAAAATCGTGTGGAACTGAACACTCAAATTGAATGGCTATAGCAGTGAATATGTATGTACATATATATGTATATCTATAAGCCGTAGATATGTATTTATATGTATATACCAGTATATAACTACTGTCTGTCTCAAAAACACATTTATTTACATAAACATTATAGAGACACTGATAAATAAAGAATTCTATGTACATATATCCGACTTAAGCTGAACTCATGCTTTATTATACAGTATGTGATTCAAGAGAATTCAGTCCCAAGAGAGTTCCATCTTATTATTTCAAATATATTTATTACGTGTGATATGCTAATTCTCTATTCAGAGAATATCGATTACTACCAGGGATAATGAGAGATACCAGACAATTCGGCATGTTCATCCTTTGAAAGTGATTTGTGCAATATTTTCAATATTTTTTGCTTTAAATCAAAGGTATGACAATTCACAAAAAAATATTGAGCCTCGAAGCGATTGACAACTTGCTAGAGAATCAGCTCGATTCACTTAGCGCATAGAGATTTATTGCTTGATTAAAGACGATTTGCTGATCTCCAAAAATGCTCTTAATAATAGCAATGCAAAAACATAAAAACTAAAACTCAACATAAAATTAGGCAACTGGAGAATATATTAATAGAAAAGCATAGGGAAATAAAGCTGAGGAGATAATAATGAAATTCTTTAATACTGCTACATTTAGTTTTCATTTAATTGAAATAATGTTTACAAAGCATATTTAGTTAAATGTATGAAGTCTCCTCTCTCTCTCTCTCTCATTCTGTCATACGTCAACGAATGATTAATTAAAACCCAAAATTATACTATTTTCCTGAAATTCTTCTGACAAATCTCTGAGAGTATTTTGGTTTTTTTGATATTCTTTTCATTTTTTTTTTTTTTTTTTTTTTGTATGACAAATGTGTTTTGGCATGTGTGTGGGTTTCTCTGTGGGTGTGTGTGTGTATGTGTGTGTGTGTGTGTGCCGCGCTTTTGGTTGGTTAGCTTCAAAGTCAATTAGTGTAATTAATTTGACTTCACGCGACCCTCGCACATAACGAACACAAACACACACACACATATGTATATATACACACACACACACACACACACACACACAGAGCCCATTTATCAACAAATGTAAAAAGCTGGCATCCAAAAAATTGCAATCCTTTACATACACTTTGCTTCCTCTTCTTTTCCTACTTCTTTTTTTTTCGCTCAAAAGCCACAAAAATGTTGGCACTCCCTCCTCCGCTGATTGCATAGTTCTCTAGCATTTTTTACGTGTCCTCTTTTTATCAACCCTGTGATTTTCAATCGAATGTGCTATGCTCTGGCTCTGGCAATTTAATTCACACATTGCGCATACGCCCCAGCTGACGTTTCGTTAGTCTGACTGCGCTTTAAGATGCTGACATTTTGTACTACTTTTGAGCTACTGTCGGCAATAAGTGGATTAGCTTTTCAATTGAACGGCTTACGGAGAAAAAGAGAGAGAGAGAGAGAGTGAGGGAAAAAGAGTGATAGACAGAGAGAGGGAAGGAGGCATGACAGTCGGTTAAAACATTTAAAACACCGCATGCGGTAAAATAAGCCAAAGTCAAAAAGTCTGCCAACAGCAACAAGGTATACACGTGTGCGTGTGTACGTCCGTGTGTGTGTGTGTGCATTCGTATTTGCACGATGCTAAGCACCGTTAAGCGCCAAATGTATCGCGGCTAATGTGTGTTTCATTGGCTTTATTATTTCACGCCAACTTAGCTAAAGTCCACAGTCGATAGCAAAACAGCCGCTAAACGAAAGCAAAGCAGACGAGCATAATATAGTTTGAAATATGCTTAATAAGAGCATAATGAAGCAGACATACAGACATACAGACGAGCAGACAGACAAAGAGAGAAGGAGAAAGAGAGAGAGAGAGAAGTTGTGTCTGTTATTCAATTAGTTGCCATTTCCTGTATTGTTCGTCTGATTTGCTCAATAAATTATGCAAATTTTGTCCAAAGTCCCCTCTGAAGATGACAACTAAAAGAATAGAGAGCGAGTGAGAGAGCCAGAGAGACAGAGAGGAGCAACTAATTTCAAGTTAAAGTTGTAAAGTCCGCATCACAATCAAAGTCAAAGCGCAAAACTCTTAATAAGGAAATTCAATTCTTTGAAGATTTGCATGCGAACTCTTGAACTTTGGAGAGCTACAGGAATTGACTTATAAAGCTCCATTGACGCATTCACAATGATAGATGATTGCTATATAATACTCGCACTTATGATTTGAGTCTGAATTGAAAGTTTTGAGGAATTCATCATAAGAATTTCAAGAATTGCTAGCAATATGAAAGTTACTTTATAAATTCTTTTAATGTTTAATTCAATGTAAAACAACGGAATTTTAGATTAATATAAAATATAAAAATATGATATTAATATAAGAAAATAACATACAATGTATATTATACATAAAAACAACTAAACAAATTAAATTCTACATTGATAGTTAAGAATTTATATTTACGTATGTATATGTATGTAAAGCAATGGATAAAAAATGTCATATATACAAAAAAAAAAAAAAAAAAAAAGATAAGAAAATTATATAATAAAATGGTTTTCATTTGGCAACTTTACCAAAACTATTTTTCCTTTTTTTTTTTTTTGCAACTTTTTGTATTCTGATTCCAATTTTTGGCAGCTTTAGTGCATAAACTGGACTCTGTCTTTTAAAATTTTCAATTGAAAATGTATCCTACATTTCCATCGACCCAGCCAATTCACAATCGTCCCAATTTTCAATCTGCCAAACCCATTGATCAGCCTGGCAACTGGCTTTGTGCTGAGCATTTCCATTATGCATTCGCACACTCTAATTGCAATCGAGAAGAGACTCCAGCTAAATACTTAATGCGCCAAGCAAACGAAAATCAATGTTTTTCTTCTTCTTCCGACAAGTTGAATAGCTGCCAAAAAAGAATAAAACAAAGCAAATAATAAAAAAAGAAAACTCCAACAAAAATTAAGCATCTTAAAAATTTCATAATTTGTCTTGTCATTAAGCGTAACTGAAGCTGAGCTGCTGCCTGCTCCGAATTTGTAAAGAGGACAACGAACGATTCGTGCATGCGGCTTGCGGTATGCGGCATGCGGAATGCGGCACAGAGAGACAATTTCTGTCACTCGTAAATTGTGATGGCGGCAACGAGCCGCCGTCGCATCCTTATTCCTTGATATGTTGCCAAGTGGCAGTCATTGGCTTTCGCAGTTGGCTTTTGAATTTAGCTTAACAATTCGCAGATTTACTGCGTATAACCGAACAGAGCAAACCACTGCGCACAATTTATGCATGTCGCAGATTTGAACTGGTTTTTCTATTTTTCTTCTTTTTTTCCTTCTAGCCCAGTATTGTTGGCGCCAGCAAATGACACGAATGACGCAATGGCTCAGAGCTGCAATCGACGGCGAAAATACGAATCGAATGATGCAAATTTCAACTATGCATAGTAGATAGAGCTTATCAGAAGATCAACTGGTAATTTCTACGCTCAGTTTAAAATTCGAATTAACCGAAGAGATTCTCATCAAATGAGGAAAAAGTTCAAAAGTTCATTTTTGAATACTTAATAGGTAAAAACTAGTGTTATAATAAGATATTGATATTCTGATTTGACTGCTCCCAGTTTCTCCATATATAT